CCCCCAATGTCCCCAATGTCCCCCCGTGTCCCCCCGTGTCCCCCAATGTCCCCAATGTCCCCAAAGTCCCCTAAGTCCCCAATGTCCCCAATGTCCCCAATGTCCCCAATGTCCCCCCGTGTTCCCCCGGGACCATCGCGCCTGGACCGGGGGGGGCGGGAAGCCACCCCCAGTGGGCGTGTCCCTGCCGATCCCGCCCCTGCTCCCCATTGGCTGCGCTCGGCTGTCAATCAAACCCCGCCCCTATAAAAGCGGCGGCGGCAGCGCCGGTCCCGCACTCGGGGAGTGACAGCGGGCGGGATGAGCGAGGTGGGGACACCGGGGACACCGGGGGACACCGGGGGACACCGGGGACATCGGGGACACCGGGGGGCTCCGGGGACACCGGGGGGCTCGGGGGGTTCCAACACACACGGACAGACCGAGCCAGGAGCGGGGATGGGGCGGAGGGTGCGGGGAGCACGGGGACAGTTTGGGGACCCCGGGGGACACCGGTGTCACCTCCCCTTTCCTCCCGGACCCCCCTCTCTTCTCAGAGAAGCCCCCATGACCCCCCCTCCGCGGCGGAGACCCCCGGTGGGCAGCAGCAAGGTGAGGACCCCCGGCACGGGTGGGGCGCGGGGTCGCTGTCCCCTCTGTCCCCTCTGTCCCCGCTGTCCCCGCTGTCCCCTCCCGGACTCTGTCCCCGTCCGTGTCCCCGTCCTTGTGGAGGAGGGGTGGCACCTGGGTGGTTTGGGGACCTGCTCTGTCCTTCCCCGTCCCCTCGGAGCTGTCGGGGTGTCCCCCTGGGAGGGGTCGTGGTGTCCCCTGGGTGTCCCCGGGGTGAGTCTGGGGGTGCCAGGCTGTCCCCAAGGATGTCCCATGTCCCCACCCCCCCCGCCAGCCAAGGCCGGTGACCCCAAGAAGGAGGAGGAAGAGGAGGAGGAGGAGATCGACATCGACCTGAGCGCGCCCGAGACGGAGCGCGCGGCGCTCGCCGTCCAGGAGAAATTCCGAAAATTCCAGAGGCGGAAAAAGGAGCCGGGGCCCTGAGGGGGGTCCCGAGACCCCCAACACTCGTGGGGACCCCCCCCTGTCCCGAGCCGGGACCCCGAGTGACACCGGGGGGTGACACAGCCGGGTGGCCCTCGTGCGAGGGGGCGGCACGGAGCCCCCCATTTTCCACAAGAATTCCCAATTTTCCACGAGAATTTCCCTCATTTTCCACGAGAATATTCCCCATTTTCCACAAGAATTCCCAATTTTCCACGAGAATTTCCCCATTTTCCATGAGAATTCCCCCATTTTCCATGAGAATTCCCCCATTTTCCATGAGAATTCCCCCATTTTCCACAAGAATTCCCCATTTTCCACGAGAATTTCCCCATTTTCCACGAGAATTTCCCCATTTTCCATGAGAATTTCCCTCATTTTCCATGAGAATTCCCCATTTCCCATGAGAATTCCCCATTTTCCATGAGAATATTCCCAATTTTCCCTGAGAATTTCCCCATTTCCCACAAGAATTCCTCATTTCCCATGAGAATTTCCCCATTTCCCATGAGAATTTCCCATTTTCCCTGAGATTTTCCCCATTTTCCACGAGAATTCCCAATTTTCCACGGGAATTCCCCAT